GAAATATGCCGTGAAATCGTGTTGTTGTTTTTTTCTTCACGATAGCGAGGGAACGACTGGTTTTGTTTCAGCTTAAGGACACGGACGGCGGATGGGGAAGGGGAAGGGGAAGGGATGGGGGGAATGGCGTTGTCTAGGAGCAAAGCATACCAGGATCACCAAAAGGAAATGGTTTATTTTTTATTTTTTATTTTTTATTTTTACCTTTTTAACCATATGGAGGGCCTTTCTGGTCTCTGGTCTCTGGTCTCTGGTCTCTGGTCTCTGGTCTCTTGCCTTTGTTTGTTCATGTCTTTATCTCTTTGTGAACAACCTCTCTCTAGACGTGAGAAGGATGGGGACAGGATTAGCGCTAAGGTAACTTAGGGAGAGGGGGGATCAATCAATCAATGCATCGGATTGCTACGGCTGTTTTTTTTAATTATATACAGTGCAGTGAGTGCAGTGCTACTTTCTATGTATGGTTCTCGTATTGTGTTGTGGTGTTGAGGGGGGTGTTTAACACTTGAACTGGCCGACTACAGGTAGGCACTGATTGAGAGGGGGTAAAAGGAGAGGAGAGGAAGGGAAAGGAGAGGAAATCGAAGGCAACCTGACCTGACCTGACCTAGTCTGGCCTAACGTACTGCGTATACATACATACATCATAGTTATTCCTAGAAATGTTGCCGTAGTGAGTGAGTGAGTGAGTGAGTGAATGAATAAGTGAGCGGGACTACTGATAAATGGGTAGGTAGATAGGTATAGCTTGACTGACTGTATTATTACTCGAACTGACACTGACGCGATGGATGGATACTTAGGCACCTGTATTTATTGGAACATCATCTGCGATCGCGCTTTAGGAAAGAAAGGTTTGTTGATGTTGCGGCTTATTTTGAGTAGGTGTTGGAGCTGGTTCCGATTATTGACTAACTGATTGATTGATTGATGCGAGATCTGAAGGGCAGAGCGAGGTTGACGACGCCTGCTGACTGGTTCTGGTCGCTAGGTATACTATACGTACATGCTATTGTAAGTGTGAGAACAGCAACTACATAGGTAGGTTAGGCTACGTTAGCCTCAGATATCAGTAGTAGACAAGGCTAGGTTAGTTAGTTGGGTACTAATATATGAACATGATTAATGAGAGGGATGGTGATTGTGTCAAGTTACAACAGTCTCCTTGCGGCCCCGGTGACGTGATGGGGGCAGTTAGTTAGTTAGTGCTAGTTGTCTCTACTTTGAATTTAATTAGACTTAAGCCAGCTGTTGCTAGTTATTACCCCATGTATTTATTACCATTAATGATAATGCAAGGTACGTATGTACGTGCGGCTGCGGTTCGTCTTTCCGGTGCCGAAGATGGGAATGGGAATGAGGCGGATGCAGAGGCCGGCTGGGTCCGAGCCGTGGAAACCTCGCGCACGAGGGTGCGTGCCGGCCCGCCCGCGAACGCGGTTCGAGGTCCAGCGATCACTCGCACACGCTGTTTTTTTTCCTTCCCCTCCCCCTTCCCCCCTAACCCCTATATTCTGTTGTTATATCTACGATAGCTGTCATGCAATGTCAAGTTTGCCGCTCGGTCTCAATTCTTCTTTCGCCATCCAGGTGGCGTTTTTTGTAGAAAAATAGAAATCTCGGATAAATATTATAAGCAGCGGGGCGAACGGAGAATAAGAGGAGAAAAAGGACATCCTATGCTTTTCGACCGACTGCTAGCTTTTGTGTGTCATATTGCCTGTTTCCTATAAGTATGCTACCAGTTATTATATATTTCATTCCAGGCTTATTGACTTCTTGTTATAGCTCGGTTACCACGGGTCCAGGTCGGATAGGCTGGGCGTGGTCAGTCGAATCTGGAATCTTCCTGCGTGGTGATCATATGACTGGATTGGTCGAAGGAAAGTAGCTAAGTCGGCATTGACAGCTAGCGCAGCTGCTGATAATGGTGAAACTGTATTTCATGTGAACTCACATCACATGCAGAACGTACCTAAGCATATAGTAACTTTGAGGTCGTGCACGGAAGGAGTCTTGGAAAGTCAATATCCAACACACGACTTGCCTCCCTCAGATCTAGTCCTAAGGACGACACATATCATCTCTTCTTCGATCATGCGGTCGACTCACTGAATTGTCTGAGGAAAGAGAGTGTATTATGTCATTAGATTCTTATACAGTAAGAATCAAACCCACATCCCAGGAATCCTGGATGCGTCACTTTAACCGCACGCTTGCGCATCGCGTCCTGAACTATGTTCGTTCGTTATCAAACATCAATTTAACTTATTCACTCTCTGCGTTAGGGAAGGTTCGACGTGAGAGTGCGTGTTCTAAGTTCACAGAATAGGTAATGGATATAGAGTTGCAACCTCCCGAGTAATCACCACCCTTTGACTAGCCAAACTTTCGAGACGTGTCGAGGCATCTCAAGGTTCTAGAGCGGCTATATAAGCTGCAGCCGAGTCGCATAACCTGGATCTCATTCCTCTTTCTATTCCTTGCATAGAAAATAGACAGCATCTCGGCACACTCAAAATTACACTCTTAAGAATCATCTCATCGCATTCATACAATGGGTCAAGCCCAAAGCAATAGAGCGTCCGGAGGCGCGGCATCAATTATCATGCCCGCACACACAATTGGCAAGCTGATCGACTGCATACGCCACGGACAAATCCAAGAGGCGGCTCGCCTGTTCAGGGAGGAGACCTGTCCCGGCGATTGGGATAAAGGCTGGAATTTCGGCTACGGCCGCGCACTGCAAAAATGCGCAGAGGGCGAACGGCCAAACAAGCTGCAGAACCCCAAGGACTCGTACGAAGACGTGGAAATCATGGCGTCGTTGCAGTTCCGCCTGGAGATGGGCCTCCTCGCCGACGAGATCGTCAAGAACCACGGGCTACGACGGCCCAATGGAGAGTACTGCCTGTTCTGGAACAAACGGGAATGGAACGCACGGTCGTGGGAGCAACTGAGCGCTAGATTTCAAGAGGCTAGGATAGCGGACAGGCTGAGGGCTGGAGGATTCCTTATTCTGCCCAACAAAGAGCAAGGACGACCATTCATACGGCCCTGGCGCTACGTCACCACGGCAATCATGGACGCGTGTTTGCCGGAGCTGGAGGAGACGCATCTGATCGCCAGGATTACGGAATTCATGCGGCAATACAGAGAAGAGTCGGGGATGGCCGCGTTGGTGCCGGAAGGTTGGGCGAAGGAGGGTACCAATGTTTGTGAGGTCTACACCTCAAGCATCGCTAATGCCTCAGCCACCAACCCGATTAGGTAAGTATGTACGGCCTCCACACATACTATCTAGTACATGTACCAGAGATCAAGGTATCCGTGGGGCAGGGAGTGGCGTCCAAGAAGAGTTTCGTGTGGGAGCGATTGGGAATTCGATAGGCTTTGATTGGTTCCAGGGGTCAGTGGCTGACAAGATACATCCTCACGGAGCCGGAGATGTGGTGGTATAAGGGTATAACTTCAAGCCTCGGAGGCATTAAGTTCTATACCCAACCTTAGCATACATCATGCTTATTTGTATGCATGATCAGTCAGACAAAAGAAATATGCTTTCTGATGATTCTTGTCTGAGAAAACTGGCATTGAATGTACAGATATCAGTGATGGATAGAGTGAAAATGTCAAGTTTAGCGTAGCAATAAGCTAGATTACATGGTCGCAGCTCATCTCGCTACTAGTTTATGAACAATCCCGAGGCACACGATGAATCTACTTCGGACATCAGTCCTATGAATTTGACCGACTTTTACTATCATTTCAACAAACACCTCACTCAAATGAGAATGATAAAAGGCTTTTTCAACGGAGTCTTCTTCATCGGCTCTTGACTAGCACGTTAAGAGCTCAAGTCCACCAACAAAAGACCCAACACTTGGATTACCACAGACGACCAATTCAAGCGAACCGTAGACCTATATCTACGGATACGAATACACAGCACAGCAACTCGAGTCTGGTAGGTAGGTATCCGTGCCTCTCAGCTCTTTGCCCGATGCCTATCTCTCAGAACGGCCCGCCAGCAAGCGTTGCATGCCCCGGTCGTCACCAACGTCTCATAGGGGCCGTATTTGTTTCCGCACTTCCCAAACTTCGCCTTCGACTTGAGCACCTCGAAGCACTTGTGTTTGATACCCCTCTCGATCGTGATGACGCTGTAGCACAGGTCGCAGGTCGTCTTTTTGGTTTCCGAGTAGCACATCTTGTCCGCCTTTTTTCTCGCGTTGTCTGTCTGTGTTGTTTCTTTTTTCTTGCGCTTGCTTCTCGCATAGATTCCGAGTTATGGTGTAATGAACCTGAATTGGAGTCTTGTCGTCTGGAGTGTGAGTGAGCACGTACTGTATAATACCTGGGCAGGTAGTAGTATTTATATTCGGGTTGCGCTGCTCTTTGTTAACGCCGAGTAACAATGCGAGGACAATGCTTTGCTGCTTGTTTGCTTGGACTGCGGAAAGAGGAGGACAAGACCTCCCACAAAGACGAACATATCCCTTCGTATTTGTACGATGATTCGATTATATGCTGGGTTAGTTGGAGCTGTCTTTCACGCTTCAAGAGATAAAATCGGAATTTCTGGTCTGACAGGTAGCCTGTTGTGTGCACTGAAGGGAAGTAGTTACTGACGAAAGCGAGAGTCGAAGACCTGATTGTTCTACAAGAATGACAAGGGATAGTAATGAAAAGATGAGCTGTAATAGTAAGTGAGTGATTGAGGAATCACCTAGCACTGATTGTCTGTTGATCATACCACGTCGAACAGAAAGTAAATATGAAAAGAAAAACCCAATCATATAATACCCAAGGTTACTACAGTCTACTGCAGGAGAATGAGATAATTTAAAAGGATATTACTCCTATTAAATAATGCTGCTCTATTATTATCAGCAGAAAGAAAGAAACAACAACAATTTAAAGAGTAATAACAGGACAGGAACAGGGATCGCAAGTAACATAGCGATAATAGCGAAAAGAAAAGAAAAAAAGAAAAAAGCTGCACCAGCCGGGATTTGCACCCGGGTCCTTTCCTTCCTTGCTAAGTGTAGAGTGGGAGGGAAATGAGTTAACTACTACTCAACTGGTGCCGTTCGTTGTATTGTTGCAGGATGTCGACGTCTCTTGCCTATCATGTACCCCTCCTTCCTTGGTCCTCCTGCCAGATGACACCCGTGGGTTGGTGGTGTCTGCTGCCTCGCCCGTTTGTTTGCTTGCTTGATTGCTCGCCTCCTGGCGTGTTGTCTAAAACGCGGCAAGACGCGTGATATCCATACCTGTACGCGGGTTGTGGCACACGATTACCTCACCATTGACTGGAGGTAAGGAAGTTACAATGTAGCTCTGTAGGTAGATACCTGGTTACACGTACCTGGTGTTCATCCACTTGTCCCTTACGTGGTTGCCGGATTGGTGTTGCTTCTAGGGAAGAACTGAGTCGTACAGACAGCAGCGGGGTTCCCTCTTTCCTTGAATCACGCTCAAGTAAGACTGAAACGTCCTGTCAAGTCCTACCTCGCTTGATGATGCCTCAGACGGGTGGTAACCTGCATATGACATATGCAGCCAGGTAAGATCCTGCAGGCATACCTGAGATCTTGTACAACCTTGATTATGACAGTTGACAGCTGCACCTGGTGAGAGTCATACTGGTACTACATGTAGCAGGTAGTCTCTGGTGTTCATATTCAATATCCAAGGAAGATTCACCAGGTACATACATACACATATGTGTATTATCATTACGATAAGTTTCTCAGGCAACTTGAATAATCAATCTGACGGCATTTTTACAATTTATACACTGAACATTAGCTCTCACTGTGCCATCCAGCATCAGTAGCAGTGGTAGTAATGACAGCAACAACAACAGACGTCAACAGCAGTATGAATTCTGCCGTAGAACGAATAGATACAAATAATGGCATCATGTAGTAAGATGCCGACATGAGTAGTATTAGTCACCATCACAGACAGGGCCTTGGTCGCTTAGGTAGTCACATCACAACCACATTAACAACAAGAGAACACAATGTCTGAAGAAAGCTAAATTTATTTATTCACTGCTCCCATCGCTGATTTTTCAAGGGGTATGAGCAGCGTCGGTAGCAGCATCGCTCCGTACGCAATGCAACGTACATGCATTCTATAGTGGGCGGATTCCCAGCACACCTATCTTAAACCCTCTGTCATGATCTCCCCCCTCGCCCTGACCATACGTCAGACAACTCTGCCACACCTAATGGCATCTCTAATCTGAGCCATCCATGTTGATACAATCTAGGCACCTCTCTTCTCTTAGGTATTGGACATTTCGTGTCATAAGTAGCTAGCAATAGGCCGGACCAAGCAGCCCAATGCGAAGACTCTGTTGAAATATGTCCAGGGGTATATAAAGTATACATGCGTTCTCGTTTCCGGGGAAAAGAAACTAGCCCCTCTAAAAAGATAAAACACACGCGGCATACAAGCTGAGTAAAGTATGGATGTTCGGTGTATCCACATATCGATACACCAGATCCTATCATTCATGTCTCAAGTGGCATCACGCCAGGAAGGAAGCTCTCAGGATCCTCTCAGCTTTCTCCACCAGCTGCTTCGAGGCGTGGTATCCATGAAGACTGGTGGTTCCTGTTCCCGCTGTGCCTTCTCTCTGCTACCAGCCGACCCGCCGGATCCGCCCGCCGGACGTTCTCGGCGCTCGCGCTCTTCGCGTCGTGCGCGCCTTCGCCTCTGATCGTCCTCGTACTCTCTATTCGCATTCCCTCTGTTCGTGTCGTCGTATCGCTCCCTCTCCCGCCGACGGTTGGCCCGGCGGGCAGCTCGTCGGGCTTCATCGTCATCTGTGGGTCGGTGGGCTTCCGCCGTTGCCCTGGGGTCCGGGGGCGGGCCTGCATCTGAATGCTCCTTTACCCAGGAGCTCGTACCAGAATGTGGCCAGGTGGGCGTCCTTCTCTTGCTACGTTCGTCGTCTGTGGGCCTAGAAGACCTTTCCCGGGGATACACAGGATTATCCGCGGGTACAGATCGATCGTGACTGGCCCTTTCTGCCCGTCTAGCCTCGCGTCTTCGTCGGCGCTCCTCGTCCTCGTCCTCGTATGCCTCCGGATGTCGAGGACGTCTTCGCTCGGCCCGGGCAGCCCGACGAGCCTCCGCCTCTGCTTCAACAGCGGCGGCTTCCTTCTCGAGCCTGCGTCGGCGACGGCGTTCTGCTTTCTCGGCCTCCCTTGCTTCAGCCTCTTCGTCCGCAAGCCGCTGAGCTTCGCGCTCTCGTGCGGCCCTACGCTCCGCCCGTCGGGCTTCCCGCTCTTCCTGTCTACGCACTTCTTCCTCCTCCTCTTCTCGACGTCTGCGCCTCTCTTGGCGAGCGTCTTTCGCGTCTCTCGCGTCTTTCGCGCGTCGAGCTTCTTCAGCCTTCTCCTGTTCCCTCGCTGCCCGGCGAGCGGCGCGGCGAGCTTCACGATCCATATCGACTTCTGGCTCCATGTTGCTCATTCCTCGTGAAGGCCTTGGTCTCTTGTCAGGTCTGCCGTCATCGTCAGTGCCATGATATGTACTCCGGCGACGGGGCTCGGGGCGAGACTCGGGGCGAGGCTCAGGGCGAGGCTCAGGTCGGGGTTCGAAGCGAGGATTCGAGGACCGGAGACCACCAAAGATGCCAGAGATACCCTTTTTGGCGTTCGAGCTAGATCGCCTTGGAGGAGTCACATCAACGGGGCTTCTTGTATTGCCCATGAAAACATCGTCGGCTGGTTTGGCTTGTCTTGAGTCATCAAGATCCGGGCTTGAGTAACGTTGGTGCCCTTTTGCCTTCGATCGTTTGCGCGCTGACTTATCAGGGCTTGACGCAAGGTCACGCGGTTCAGTCATGATGATATCGTCGTCTTCTTCTATGATAGCGCGACTTCGTGAGGTTCGCCGACTATGACCTTTGTCTACTCCTAGAACTCGTGCTGCTTTCGGGGTGTGCTCAGGCATCTCCTCGGGAGGAGGCGACACAAGTCCGCCGCTCATACTCATATCAACAGAGTGGCGTCTTGAGCCGGGTTTGTCTGCGCGCTTATCGCGTGTTGAGCGCGAGATAGGAGGTGTGCTCTGAAAGACGCTGCTCATACGCGGCATAGGAATCGGCGCGGTTCTTCGATCTTGTCGCTCTACTTTATCTGAGCCTGAGTCTTTGAAGGACACCCTCTCTTCTCTCTCCTTTGGCTTTTTGGTGTCGGAACGAGACTTCGATGGCTTCTTGTCTTCTTTGTGTGGTGTAGCTGAGGCTGACCACGCACCCCAAGACACATTATTACCATCACGGCCGATCTTGGCCCGTTCTTTCTTTGAGGACCTGGACTCACCGAGGGGCGATGTGGGTGCCTCGGGTGCCTCGGGTGCTTCGGGTACCGCGGGTGGCGGAGGAGGCACAGCGGGCGGTACGGGAGGAAGGGCGCTATCCCTGTATTTGCTCTTCTTGCTCCTTTTCGACTTCTTTTCAATAGGTGGTGAGAGGTCAATAACCTCAACGATTTCGTCTTCATCTTCGCCGTCATATATTTCCTTAGAAATGCTTTTTTCCGATTCTCGTTCAGCAAGCGCCATGCCGCGGATCTCAGTGTCATCGAGATGAATTTCGTCATCATTATCGTCTTTACCTCCATTATCTTCATAGATTTCGGCCCCGTGATCCTCGTCAGGAAAGCTGCCAGGAACGATGTCTATATCTCCCTGATTATCCTCAGGCTCGGGCGCTGGTGCTTCAGGGGCCACATCGATTAAGTCGCCATCGGAACCATCTTGTAAGTTAGGCTCAAACTTCTTCAGCTTTTCGGCGAGTTTAGTTCCCTTGGCTCTCCCTGGCAGCCAATCATCAAAGATAGACTTGAAAAAGGTGGGCGCGTGCTCCTGTTTGTCTTCGGTGTCCTCCTCTTCGGAATCATCGTCAACATCCTTATCAATATCCTCATCAATATCATCGATACCCTCATCGATACCCTCATCGATACCCTCATCAATGCCCTCATCAATATCCTCAGCGGCGTCGTCTGGAACCTCAGCGGGTTCCACAATTGGAATTTCGGTTGCTGCTGAGTGCTTGGATCGAGAGGAGGCGACCACATCGGGAGGCGAGCTCTTCGAGGCGGGCTTGGCACCCCAGAATGAGAAGGGGTCCTCGGTTTTGGGCTTCCTTGCTGGCGGTAGACCCGACAGGATCTCGTCAGCCTGCTCGGCTGTCAGGTCTACACCGTCGAGGCTGAAGTCGTCGTCGTCGTTGTCGTCTTTCTTCTTGTCCTTGCTGGTAGACTTGGATTTCTTGTCGTCGGCTTTGGCGCTCTTCTTCGACTTTTTCTTGGAAGATGTAGCGGCCTCGGCAGCCTGTCGTTCACGTTCAGCCTTTTCCTCAGCCTCCCGCGCAGCTTGTTCCTCTGCTTCTCGAGAAGCAGCCTCTTCCGCCTCTCGGGCACGCTGCTCTTCCGCTTCCGCCGAGGCTTGTGTATCGTCACCGTCAGCCTCCGAAGTAGCAGCAGCAGTGGCACGAGCATTGACCCTCTCGGTTAGCTCGTCAAATCGGTCTTGGTCCTTTCTACCAAGCTTCTTCTTCTTCTTAAGCCTAGCCTGAAGAACCTTGAGTTCTGCATCCTCTGCATCTGCCTCCGCTTGGCGTGCTGCTTGCTCTTCAGCCTCCCGAGCGGCTTGTTCGTCAGCCTCTTGAGCGGCTTGTTCTTCGGCTTCCCGAGCAGCTAAGTCTGCTTCACGAGCAGCCTGTTCTTCTGCTTCATGTGCCGCCTCCTGTTCCGCTGCGGCTTGTGTGGCTGCCTCATCGGAATCCGCGGTGCCTGCACGGGCATTGATCCTCTCAGTAAGCTCATCGAAGCGTTTTTGATCCTTTTTACTCAGCTTTTTCCTTGCAGCTCTCATTTCAAGCGCTTCAAGTTCTGCTTCATCAGCTGCGGCTTCTTTGGATTCACGAGCAGCCTGTTCTTCGGCTTCTCGTGCTGCTCGCTCTTCTGCTTCTCGCGCTGCTTGCTCTTCGGCTTCTCGTGCTGCTTGCTCCTCAGCTTCCCGAGCTGCCTGTTCTTCAGCTTCTCTTGCTGCTTGCTCC